CTCCAGCTACTTGGGAGGCTGAGGTGAGGGAATTGCATGAGCCCAAGCAGTCGAGGCTGCAGTGAGCCATGACTGCACTCCCGCCTGGGCAACTAGCAGGACTCTGTCTCAAAAAACAAAAAAAAAATTGTAGATTCCAGGATGCCAGAGATTGTGTTTCATTTACCACTTTAAACTCATCCCATTCTCTAGGCTTGCCATACAGGAGTCTGATAATATTATAAGTGAATGACTGAATCTTACATGATAACTCTTATTTTTAAAAACATGAAATAGCTGCAAGAATCTAATTTGGGCCAGGCACGGTGGCTCATGCCTGCAGTCCCAGAACTTTGAGAGGCCAAGGCAGAAGGATTGCTTGCACCCAGGAGTTTGAGACCAGCCTGAGAAACAAAGCAAGACCCTGTCTCAACAAAAAATAAAAATTTTTAAATATGTATATTTTTAATTTGAAAGAATATAATTTGAAAACCTGGCTAAGCATATCAATTTTGTTTGAAAGTTTATGTATAATGAATCAACAAATGAAACTAATAAAATTTGTCCTCATTGATATTCTAAACATAGAGTGATATGTTTCCATTCTGTAATTAATAAATTAACTTCTCCACTTCTGTAGAGTGAAGGAAAGTTAATGGTGCCATTCTATGGAAGACTAAAGCAAATTAAAGTTCATCAAGACAATGAAGAGGTGTTCAAATGCACGTAAACACATACATGTATGATGCAGACTGGAAATTGTCTGATTCTATAATTTCCTTGGAAACTGATTTCCTGGAAACAATAAACTCTGGAAAATTAGTTGATTCCAAAGAACATTCATGTACTATACATGTTTTAAATGTTAACAGTGTTTGAAGCGTTAGTAACTAATACATACACCTCACCTTAGAATGCAAGTAGCTACCTGTCTATATCTTGAGGCAGGTCGATCAGGTTATTGTTGCTGATATCCAACCACTGCAAATTCGACATCCGCAGGACACAGATCGGGACACTGGAAAACTTGTTTGCTGAGATATCTACAAATGTAACTTGCTTCAAATTACTTAACTAGAAATGAATAACAAAATGTTCTAATTACTTTTATAAGAGTGGGAACAAAGTTCAACCAATAATTTTAAGATTGATATTTCTTTCCCAAAGGCATTTCTATGAATATATGCAAAGCAGATCAATACAGGATGTATTTTGGAGCACCTCGGATGTGTCATTCACTGTGTATGGGTAGGGAAGTTAAGATAAATAATACACTGCAGCTGCCTTCCAGGATTTTATATTGCTAAAAATTATCAGTGCAAGCTGGGCTTGGTTGCTCATGCCTGTAGTTCTAGCACTTTGGGAGGCTGAGGTGGACAGATTGCTTGAGCCCAGAAGTTCAAGACCAGCCTGGACACGATGGCAAAACCCCATCTCTACTGAAAATACAAAAATTAGCCAGATGTGGTGGTGCAACCTGTAATCCCAACTACTTGGGAGGCTGAATCAGGAGAATCACTTGAACCCGGATAGTGGAGGTTCCAGTGAGCTGAGATTATGCCACTGCACACAAAAAAAGGAAAAAGGAAAGAAAAATATATATATATATAAAATATTAAGCAATAGTTACAACACTGTATTTTTTTATTTTTGATATATAGATGTAAATATGTGATAATAAAAATACAAAGGATGAATGTAATGGAGCTATATTGGGGCAAAAGTTTTTATATTTTACCAGAATTAAGTTATTACTAAGCTGAAGTAGATTGTGTTAAATTAAGAAGAATATTGTAATCTCTAGAATAAGCACACACAAAAATAAAAACAAAAAAATAGTTTTTAAAAATCAACAGAAGAAAAAAAATGGTATACTAATGAGTCAAAAGACACAGATTGTTAGTCGGGTTTTACCAAAAAATCCAACTATATGCTGGCTATAGGAAACACAACTTAGAATCAAAGATA